TGTGTGTACCAGTCACTGTGTGTGTGTGTACCAGTCACTGTGTGTGTGTACCAGTCACTGTGTGTGTACCAGTCACTGTGTGTGTGTACCAGTCACTGTGTGTGTACCAGTCACTGTGTGTGTGTACCAGTCACTGTGTGTGTGTACCAGTCACTGTGTGTGCACCAGTCACTGTGTGTGTGTACCAGTCACTGTGTGTGTACCAGTCACTGTGTGTGTGTGTACCAGTCACTGTGTTTGTGTGTACCAGTCACTGTGTGTGTACCAGTCACTGTGTGTGTGTACCAGTCACTGTGTGTGTGTACCAGTCACTGTGTGTGTGTGTGTGTGTACCAGTCACTGTGTGTGTGTGTGTGCACCAGTCACTGTGTGTGTGTACCAGTCACTGTGTGTGTACCAGTCACTGTGTGTGTACCAGTCACTGTGTGTGTGTAGCAGTCACTGTGTGTGTACCAGTCACTGTGGTGTGTGTACCAGTCACTGTGGTGTGTGTACCAGTCACTGTGGTGTGTGTACCAGTCACTGTGTGTGTGTACCAGTCACTGTGTGTGTACCAGTCACTGTGGTGTGTGTACCAGTCACTGTGTGTGTACCAGTCACTGTGTGTGTGTACCAGTCACTGTGTGTACCAGTCACTGTGTGTGTGTGTGTGCACCAGTCACTGTGTGTGTGTACCAGTCACTGTGTGTGTGTACCAGTCACTGTGTGTACCAGTCACTGTGTGTGTGTGTAGCAGTCACTGTGTGTGTACCAGTCACTGTGGTGTGTGTACCAGTCACTGTGGTGTGTGTACCAGTCACTGTGTGTGTGTGTACCAGTCACTGTGTGTGTACCAGTCACTGTGGTGTGTGTACCAGTCACTGTGTGTGTACCAGTCACTGTGTGTGTGTACCAGTCATTGTGTGTGTGTGTGCACCAGTCAGTGTGTGTGTGTACCAGTCACTGTGTGTGTGTGTACCAGTCACTGTGTGTGTGTGTACCAGTCACTGTGTGTGTGTACCAGTCACTGTGTGTGTACCAGTCACTGTGTGTGTGTGTAGCAGTCACTGTGTGTGTACCAGTCACTGTGTGTGTACCAGTCACTGTGGTGTGTGTACCAGTCACTGTGTGTGTACCAGTCACTGTGGTGTGTGTACCAGTCACTGTGGTGTGTGTACCAGTCACTGTGTGTGTGTGTGTACCAGTCACTGTGTATGTACCAGTCACTGTGTGTGTGTACCAGTCACTGTGTGTGTGTACCAGTCACTGTGTGTGTGTGTAGCAGTCACTGTGTGTGTACCAGTCACTGTGTGTGTGTGTAGCAGTCACTGTGTGTGTACCAGTCACTGTGTGTGTACCAGTCACTGTGGTGTGTGTACCAGTCACTGTGGTGTGTGTACCAGTCACTGTGTGTGTGTGTACCAGTCACTGTGTGTGTACCAGTCACTGTGTGTGTGTGTACCAGTCACTGTGTGTGTGTGTGTACCAGTCACTGTGTGTGTGTACCAGTCACTGTGTGTGTGTGTACTAGTCGGTGGACGCGGTGGTCACTCGGTGTGCGCACCTAGCCATCCTCTGTGTACCCCCTCGTTCTGTTCACAATGCGCTGTGTCTAGTCCAGGCTGTGAACCAGCTTGTGTGTAATCCAGGCTGTGAAACAGTTTGTTTGTCTGTGTGTCCCAGCCAGTCAGTGTGCCTGTGTGTACCAGTCACTGTGTGTGTGTGCGTGCTAGCCAGTGAGTGTGTACCAGTATATACATATGCCTGTGTGTACCAGTCACTGTGTGTGTGTACCAATCACTGTGTGTGTACCAGTCACTGTGTGTACCAGTCACTGTGGTGTGTGTACCAGTCACTGTGTGTGTGTACCAGTCACTGTGTGTGTGTACCAGTCACTGTGTGTGTGTGTACCAGTCACTGTGTGTGTGTACCAGTCACTGTGTGTGCGTACCAGTCACTGCGTGTGTGTACCAGTCACTGTGTGTGTGTACCAGTCACTGCGTGTGTGTGCGTGCCAGCCAGTGAGTGTGTACCAGTGTACATGTATGCCTGTGTGTGTGTGTGCACCCTCTCCCACCCAGGTCACTTTCCCCCCTCCCTCCCGCCGACCGGCGGAGACCCTACTGCAGATGTGACACACGCTGCACGCTGTAATAACCTGGCCGCTTCAGCCAAGGCACATCAAAAGCCCGGCTTAATTAAAAATGAGAGAGAGAAAAAAATTGACACACGTACACACACACACACACGCATGCATGCGCCATAGACACATACGCGTACAATGATCCCGTCACCAGCGTAGCAACTTTAGATTAACACACAGAGAGAGAGAGAGAAAGAAAGCGTGGCCTCCAGTATCAAAGCCACATTTAGGAGGCTTTTGTTTCAGTTGTTTAACAAATGTGGGCAGACGATGTTCGGTGTTTTAATTTGAGCGAATGAGACGGGGGGGCACAACGCGCGCTGGGTCGCATGCCGTGTGCGTGACTCATCTGACGGATCAAAGGCAGATTGGTGAGATCCCCGAACAGGCAGGGTCTGTGCGAGGTTGTCTGCAGATTGCAGTCGAGCCGAGTGAGTTTAATGATCAACGCGTCCGTGGAAATCTTCTGCGTGTAACCTTCTGACCTGCCCGAACCGGACATGTGTGAAAAATTGCTTTTAGTTAACCGGATTCCTGCAGTAGAACACTACGCAGTCTGATTCTGCTGTGTTATCCCCGGTGGGGAGGTGGTGGCTACGCACGTGGCTGCTCGTAATCCAGCACTGTGGAGACAACAGCGACGGGGGGGTTGGTGGGTCAACGCACGCAAATGTTGTGAAACTCCCTTAACCGCGGGCATCGGTGCGCGATGCCCCTGGCTCGCCAGGGGGACGGCGGTGCATCAGAATCGTCAGAATCTTAGTTGAGACTGGAGCAATGCGATGGGCCATACCGCTCCTTTACGCAGATGTCCAGGATGGTTGTGAGCAGGTCACAACATAAAACAATACAAAGACGTGGACTCCACCTGTTCCGTCAGTACGGGATAGAGTGTTCCGCCCTCGCACGCGTGGGGTTTCTCCCCGGGTGCTCCGGTTTCCTCCCGCGTGTAAAACACTCGTTTATAATTGGCCGATAACGCCTTCATATGTAGAGGACCGCAGAGATTGGGGCAAATGTTGACGCCGGCTCATCGAGTGACTGCTGCCCTTCTCGCTTAGGGGCCGTCCATAAATGACGTCACGTACGGGGAGGGGGGTGGTCAGACATTTGTGACGATGTGTGACGAGGGGGTGGGGAGTTTGAGAAATGTGACGTCACATCAAAATGCGCAACTTTAAATAAATAGTCAACACGTTCTACTTAATTAAATAGACGTTTTAATAAACGTTTTCTCCTACAACATCAGAGTGCAGCGCCACATTAAATACGCACTACAATAACAATAGTTTAAAGTTATTTGAAGCAAGTTTTATTTTCAAAATGGAAATATGGTATTGGGGGGGGGCAGAGCTTTGTGACGTCATATTTGAGGGGGGGTCTGACTTTTTGTGACGCCGTGTGACGGGGGGGGGGGTCAAAAATCGTCCAAAATCGCGTGACGTCATTTATGGACGGCCCCTTATCTGTTGGTGGCGTCTCGTAGTCTCCGAATCGTCGTCTCTCTCTCGTGGAGAGTGAGTGAACAAACTGTGGGGGCGGCATCGCGTTACAAGTTGAGATTATGCACTATTAAAACTTAAAAAAATATGTTTTTTTTAAAATGTACCAGGTAAAGGCTCACTGAGCTATGTAGCTATTTTTCAGAAGCGACCTGCCCACAAGTGATAGCCCAACGAAGTGGCTTATCACGTTGAAAGGTATAGCAGCCAAATATTCTAAATGCGTGTTTCTAAATGTGGAGGGGAACCCGGAGGACCCGCAGAAAAATCCACACGACCACAGGGAGAGAGAGAGAGAGACACGCAAACTCTAAATGTACATGCGTCAGGTTCGGGATCGAACCCACGACACTCCTGTATACCAGGTGAGGTAGCTAACATATCGCCACCGCGAGGATGATGACAACTGAAAGGGGAAGTCCCTGGCATTAAATAAGTAATTAAAACAACTTTTTTTTAAAACACGCTTTCATGAAATGCACCGTACGAGTAATGGAAGAACTCCACGACTCCAGGAAGTGGCCCCGAAGCTTGCCAACGTCAGTTGAGCGTGGACAATTAGACCCAAGCCGAAACAGAACATATAAAAACTAATGTTTAAAAAATAAATAAAATTTTCTGATAGAATATAGTATTGTCATCAGTATGACATAACTATACCAAGTTTGCAGTCGATACCACATTGGGAAGTGGGTTAAAATTGAGTTACGAGATTTGAGGATGCAACAACAGAGTGAGTTAATAAAAAAGCGTGTAATAATAAAAAAGACAGCAGAGCCAGGAAAACACTCCCCTACCAGGGGTGCCACCTGTGCGGGTTGGACCTAGATAGTCCTGGATTTGGCAGCTCAGAAATCAGCACCTTTATTTAGGCTGCAAGAGGAATCCGATGAGCTATGAAGCTCTTTTCCACAGATGTCCAGTAAGGGCTGGTCAGCGAGTTACAATAGCAAAAAAAAAACCTAATAGGAGTGAAAAAAAGCAGAAAATGTAAGGAGCAGGGATGCAGCTGTACCGGGATTCGGTGATCTTTTAGTGCGGTGTGGTGCTGCACCAGTATTGCGTTTAACTTTATTCGAGTTTACTGCACAATTTGAAATCGACCGAGGCTGACTGAGCAATACAGGTTGGCCACCAGTTGAAAAGGTGGGAACCCGGCACCCCCTCGCTATGATATCTCACCCTGGTCGAGTCTAATCCCACCCTGGTCGAATACCTATGCACACTCAGTACGATATGGCGACGTTCCGGGCAACGACCGTCTTCGGAGCACGTGCAAATTAATGGAAAAACCGTACGCCATAGGCATGAATGGAAAACCGGAAGCCATAGGAATGAATGGAAAACCGGACACCATAGGAATGAATGGGAACCGGAAGCCATAGGAATGAATGGGAAAAACCGGACGCCATAGGAATGAATGGGAACCGGATCGAGCGCTCGGGACGGGAACCGGATCCCGCGACCTTTCCCGCTGTCAAACCCCGGGCACAATGTAAGTAACTGTACGCTGCGCACTGTACAGGGGAAGCGTCAACATTGTGACATCTGTACAAGTTTAACCACGTGCCATAGTGAAGTAAACAACTTTGTGAAGGAATAAAACAAAACCAACAACATTGCCGCTATTTCTGAGCCAATTTAAGTTTGACATTTCGTGAGGCCTGGTCGAGACACTGTACGCGAAGGCACTGTGCCTCAGTGATGGGGGTTACGTGAATGTTGTACATCGTACCGGCTTTATCTGCGGGGATTGGTCCATTTGTATTTATTTCTCCAGAACATGTCGACCTCCAGGGTGTCTACATTGTTGTTTATTAAGTGAACTTTATACCGCGCGGAGCGGTGCGCGCGTGTGTGGTTTTTAAAATTCCGTCACTGTACAAAGCTGGTCCAGATGTCTCGTGACCCCCCACATTAACCACTTTAATAAAATCTCTTGGCATATGAATTTGTTTTAAAAGAACCCTTACTTAAACAAGAGTAAGTATTACGTTCTAGATAATTAAATGGTGGGGTCACGAGACATCTGGACCGTCCTGTACAGCACGGCGCAGCAGCTGTATAATACAGTCAAGTTGATAATTATTACTCTTTGGTTCTTTCGGTAAAGTCAAGTCGGTAGAAAAATAAAATAAAAATATATATCACGACGTTTCGATCGCAACACAAGCGGTCGTCCTCAGGTGAACAAAACAAATCAAATCAAGATTGATAATTATTATCAACTTGACTTTGTGAAAACCACAAATTTGAAAATTTCTAATTTTCTTGTGGTTTTCACACCTGATGATGATTGCTTGTATTGCAGTCGAAACGTCGTGATAATTTTATTGTTTTATATTTTTATTATTTTATTGTTTCCCTTCTACGTGACTTTACCGAAAGAACCAAGAATATTAATCCCTGCAGTCACGAAAGCTTTAAATCAAAATACTTATCGATAGTTTTTTTGCATCCAATTGCCCGAGAATATATATTGTTTACTGCAATCCAGAACTTTTAAAGCAGGTTTGGTGGATCATGCAGAAATCATGCGCTGCCAAACTCCCAAACTTGCTGGGGACTGTGAGGTGGCCAGCAAATGTCAGTGCACAGCAAATCCACACCATCTCTGTACCGATCTGTGAGTGCGACCTCTTTCTCTATGTTAAGTTTTTTATCTCGTAAGCAAAATAAGTAATATAAAAAAAAACTGTAAAAACACGCTTTAATGAAATGTACCGTACTAGTAATGGAAGAACTCCACGACTCCAGGAAGTGGCCCCGAAACTTGCCACAACGTAAGGGGCCCGTGGTGATTTACAGCCAACGTCAGTTGAGCGTGGACAATTAGACCCAAGCCGAAACATAACATTTTAAAAATAATGTTTTAAAATGTTTTTTTTTTATGATAGAATATAGTATTGTCATCAGTATGACTTAAGTATACCAAGTTTGCAGTCGATACCACATTGGGAAGTGGGTACAAATTTCGTTACAAGATTTGAGGATACATCAACGACAGCAACAGAGTGAGTTAAATAAAAGCGTGTAAAAAAGCTCCTTAAATAGCAATTGTCTGCTGCGCGTCCTGGTGCGTGCCTTTCTGGAATAAATCACAGCTAATAAGCTTGTCAATACATCTTTAAAAATATCACATTCCTCACATAGCCGTCCGAGTTTGCAATCGGCACTGCAGTGGCGATTAGCACCTGAATCTGCTGAGCTTACCACGTACCAGTGTTATTCATTGCAAGGCCCGCAATGAATAACACTGCCTTTCAGTGTGGTCCCCGACATTGCACAAATGTGAGAACACCCCTTGCAGGCGGTGTGTGGTGCCCCTCGCACTGATTATGTCGTTATCAGTGAAAGTATCCCGCCCCCTCGCTGAAAATTATGAAGAACATTTCCATAAATCGACGCAGCCTAAAAGAAGTACCGATTGCAATGTGCCCAATGTCAGAGCGCGGCGGAAGACGAAGGCATGGTGTGCGTGGGTTCATAGTTTCATGGTTTCATTTATTTGGTATAGCCCTGTGAGCCATTCGGCTCTTGAATCGGGTGCAACCGCTACAAACAAAAAAAACAAAAGCATGAACAAAACATCTTAAAGTGATTTTGTGCATGTGCAAACAGAAAATCCTGGAAAAAACATCAAAATATTCCTGAAATAGCACCGTACACCAACGCTGTGTGCAAAAATCCCAGTGGGATGCAAGTCAAACAACAACAAGAAAACTTAGATTAAGGCCATCAGTCTAACTCCGTACTACAATAAACAAAAAACATGGCCAAACCAAAAAACTTTTAGAAATCACCCAAATGAAGCCATAAATGCAATGTAACAGTGATCATAGGAACTGTGACCGGATTTTTAACAATAAACTACATAACATGTAACGTGGGTGGTGCTGGTAGACGACTCAACGCGTGCGACAATGGAACGAGCGGGTGCTGACGCCGCATAGTGAAACGTCATATGTGACGTGAACAGACGTGACATCACGTGGCGTTGTGACGTCACAACGTGCATTAAATGTTGACCTCTTGGCTGCAGGTCTCTCTTGTTTATCTCACTTCCCACAAATATTTCGTTCTTATCTAGAGCGATCTCATCCTAACCACTTATTTATTTCTCTTTAACCTCGCTAATCTTTATCTTGTTGTCTAGACATCTCTCAACTCCCTTGTTCATTTCTATTTTCCCCGAATCTTCATCACCTCGAGCCATATCTCTCAGCGGGACGGTGTATGTACAGGTAGTCCCCGACGTACGATCGAGATGCGTTACGACGACCCCATCGTAAGTCGAAAATATCGTAAGTCGAAAATGGCCTAGCCTACCCAGGAGTCTTAAAGAATGGTGATAATTTAGCAAAACAGAGCAATTTACAGTACCGTACTATATAAACTATATACTGTATTTATTAATTACAATACTGTATTGCACAGTAAAATTTAAAGTAAAAAACAAGGTAAAATCTTAGCCTACCTATATGAACTGCAATTTTTTCAGGAAACAATCCTATCTGCTATAAAAACTTTTACATGCATTGAACGTATGTATCGTATCGTGGTAACCCTAAAATGAAATCGCTAAAGCTACGTATCATACATGCATTGAACGTATCGTAACGTATCATATTCTACTGTACTCACCAAGATTCTGTCCGTCGTCTGCATACTTGAACGATGTTAGGTTGTTAACTTAGTTGTCGGAAGAGGAGGATGGCGATGATAAAGTTACACTATCGTACCTCGTACGCTGCTGCGTTTGCCTGCCGCGCGAAATTAACAATATTTTACAATTTTGTCGTATCGCCATCGTAACATCGAAATATCGTAAGTCGGACCATCGTAAGTCGGGGACTACCCGTATTTATGTATGTTGAACTTATTTTTTCGCACCGTATGTAGCCAACGGGGCTAATCGGAGGTGCCGAATAGCTTCGCGGGGCCTTTTACAAGAGCCTTCGCTAGGCCCGATGGGACCCGTAGGCCGTCTGTTAAAGAACTCCGGTCCAAAGGCTTTACCAGGGGGACCTTGGTGTGTGCGTGCGTCACTCAGGCAGGCCGCGATGGAGGTGGCGCAGCGGTACTGTTCCACCGAGCTGGAGAGCTACGCTCAGTGCGTGGCGTCCAACCCGAGCACCTGGGGAGTCAAGTGCCACGACCTCAAGGCCCAAGTGTCCAAGTGCACCAGCTCGCAGTACGTGCACGCCCAGTGCTGCCTGTTTAGCACAAGGCTTGGGTGCTCATGTTATATAGATTTATCTAGCGCCTGACAACAATTATACGATTGTACGTAAGATGATAGTGGTTGAAATAAAGAGGGGGGGGTGTTATTAAAAGTGGTGGTGACCACTGATTAGCATAGTTGGCTACGTAAGGTGCGGAAGGAGTGAAACACGGTGACAGGTGGGAGTGGTTAAGGAGGGGTTGGGGTAGTGATAGGGGTTGGGGTAGGCCTGGTCCTAGCTGGGAAGCAGGGGTAGGGAGTATTAGTAGGATGGACTTGGGAGAAGAGATGGGGTTTACGGGAGGAACAGAAGATGATTGTTTTATGTGCAAGATTGTTTTATGTGACTGGGCATAGATGACTCCATGGTGTGATAATGGGCAGAGGTGACACCTCTGAAAAGCAGAATGGGCTCCCCCATTCCATATAGAAGACTGGAGGATGGATTGCTCCACTTGAATCCAGTTTAATATGCTACAATGTTCAGTAATAAAACATTGTTCATAAAGATTACAGTGAAGTGTATTTAGCCTGGGTGGGTGGGGTGCTGGCGCAGTGGTTAGCATACTGCACTGTCAACCCAGCCAACATTAGTTCGCTTCCTGGCTATGGCTAACAGGGACCAGTGATATCTAACCAATCCTGGGCATCCCTTCCATTCACTAACCCACTTTGACCAATGTGGTGAAGTATGGTCAAATAACCCCAGCATGGGGAGACCTTTATCCAGCAGTGGAATAACAATAGTCCTACTGGACATCGTGAAAAATAACTTTGAAGCATATCCAATTCCTCCAGTATAAATAAACTGATTGTGAATAGCCTGTATATTATAACTTTTGGCCTTTATAGCTGAATACACTGCTCTCAGTGTATTGCAGGTACAACCATGGTGAGCCACCATAGTCACTCGTATACCACTTGTACACCTTGGGACCCCGGATGTAGTTGAGTGGGAACCCATGCATGGTGTTCGCTGACCCTTCTCCCCCCCTCCCTCTCCGCACCTCTGTCAGCCCCGTGGTTCGTAAGATCCAGGCGGCGTGCGCCAGCGAGTTCGGCGCGTTTGAGACGTGCCTCAAGGAGAACGCGTCGGCCGTGCTGCTCTGCTCCTCGCACATGAAGGGCTTCCTGGCGTGTGCCGAGCGCGTCGACACCGGCCTGCCCATCACCGGCGTGGCCCAAAGTACTTGCGGTAAAATAAATAAAAAATGCAGTGACACCACGAGTTATGCCCTCCCCCCCCCCCCACTTTATGCACTTCCGCTATGCATGTATGTACGTATGTATAACTTCTTTCGCACCGCACGTGGCTAACCGTGTTCATCGGAGGTGCGGTACTCGTACTATGGTACCAGTATTATTAGTTTGATGCTACTAGTAGCAGTGTTATGGTACTATGGAAGCAGTGCTATAGTACCAGTGCTAGAGTACTCAACTTATGATACCCAATCCCGTTCTACGTTCTGTGTACCTCGCCATAACGCCCTCGAGATTTTACGAACGTAACCGCTAAGCCCCACAATATTTTTTCGCTCCGCAGCAAACCATTCGGGCACCAGATGCCCTGAGGCGCCCAAAGCATTGGGGTCCCTGACTGTCTGCAGTCTCCTGATGTCTACTCTTATAAAAAAATTTCCCCCGCATACCGTATTCCTGATGTTTATTTTATATAATTGTTAAAAAAAATATTATACGATACACAATAATAATGCAAAAAGTATAATAGACTAGGTAATATTTCCTAATATATCAATGATATGCACTTTTCAAACTGATGGTTGAACAGTATAGATGCGCAATGGGTTACACAGCATCCTCTGTGTAGGTACCATACTGTACCACGTTAAGATTCACCAAAAATGCTTCGATTGAAGTACTTTCTATTTATGTGCTGGTTTTCAGGAACGCATTCTGGGCCAGTATATTATACTAGTTCATACAGCCTGTCTTAAGCCAGGCAAATTTTTTCAATAAACATAATTAACCTGATGTGATTTTTTAAAAAATTTTTTATCTACAATCAGACACTAACAACTACTCCAAAAATGTGTTTTATTTCCGCAACAAAAGCTTAAATTGCTGACGACTTTATTCAACTTCTTATATTTAAAGACCTACCCATCGGAAACTGCTTAATTTAAAGATTCCATTTTTTTTCGAAAGAACAAAAATTAATTAGCTTAATACTCTGTGAGGGGAAGCTCCTATTTTTACCGTTTTCGAATTATTCAGATTTGAACATCATAAAATGCGGGGGTTTTTTTCGTTCAGAACCCCTTTAATCCGAAATATCTCAAAAACAATAAAAGATATAACAATAGTTCTCGCTTTAATTGTATTTTCTGTTTAACGTTCTATCAAACGAAAAAGCCCACAATCTTATATTTTGAACGGTTTCTGAATTACACGCACAAACATGTTCATGGGGCACTTAAAATCGAGATTTGGGGGACTTAAAATGAAAAATCGCGGATTTTCAGATTGTTCCTGTTTGTGTCCTAAAAGTTACCTCTGTACCACATTTAAGCTTTATACCTTGTCGGGAAGTACCCTAATACAATTAAGGTCTTTATATAGATATGCAGCAACGCAATTGTCATCTTTATTAATTTGTTAATCACCGGTTATGCTCGCCTCTCTGGTGGGCACCTAAAGGCAGTGTAGTAAAATGTGCTGTTGTATTGTACTTCAATGCCTCCAAGCCTGTGGCTTGCTTGCTTCACCAATACACACTGGCCAGCGTGGTGAAGTATGGTCAAGTGACCCACGTTGCCTGCACGGTGTGGGGAGGAGGCTCCCTTACATCGGTGGATTGATAAAGGGTCTTTAGTTTGTTGTCCTTCCCCCGCACCTCCATTTGCATGGTTGGCTACGTACGGTGCAAACAACGACTCGCTCTGGTGGCGGCATTAGTGCAGACCTGATGCTAAAGACTTAAGCTTGTTTGTGCACTCTGTGCAAGCCAACCCTCTCAGACATGTCGTCTTCACCTACATCAAGAAGTAATAGAAAGGGACTGAAGTATGAATCCCTTAGTCTGCGAGACAAATCCAAACTTTAGGATGTAATCGATGCAGGGTGTGTGTCAACGCGTATGGTGCGTGAAGAGTTTAGAAAACAAATTTTGAAAAAACATGTATTGGGGCAGGAGGCACTGGGAATATTGGATAATTCGGCAAGGCCAGAGCCCCATATGTTTTGATTTAACAAGGGTTTACTGTACATACGTAAATGTACTGTATGATCAGCTGTAGCATATATTTCATAAGCATGCTAATTTCACAAGTTGCTCATATGCTTCGAAATGTACTGTGGAGAGTTCCCTATTACGGTGAACTCTACTCATTGATTCCTGCATCCGTATTGAGAACTCATCCATACCGCGTTCAGCCAGTCATGCTGCAGGTGACAATACTTTTCCCTGCTCCGCTTCGCTCGCACTGCTCGACTTTGGATTTAACCTACCATCGTCTCTTTTCCCAAAGCTATGACATTCAAGAGCCATGTTCGTAACTCTTAGCGATTACAACTTTAAAAGCGCCGCTTGTTGCTGGCCTCTTGGCATTTTTGGGGCCTTCGGTGCCTGCGCACAGCAACTGCGATGTTACAAAATAAGTCGGCACGGAATGGAATATACGGCTCGGTACATCAAACGCGTGCAATCGCCAATTCTGCTTTGAGTTTATGACGTGTGTTTTTTTTTCTCCTCTACGTTCTGTTAATGCCCCCTCCTAACCCCCTGTCTCGCTGCAGAGAAAAGCTGATTCAGATGCTCTTGGAAAAGCTCGGGGTCCTTGGGAACAGTGTGTGAAGGCATTTCTGGAGACCTTTAACACGAGACTGTACCCAGCGCAGCTTGCGGTGCATTTCTGGGAGGCACTGTAATGTTTCTTTTTGTTTTAATAAAAATGATAACGCTCCGATAAGAATCTTGACGTGCGGTGCTAATGTATTTATAAATAGCAGCGTGTTTTGCAAATTATGAATTTGCAGGACCAGGCTAATTCTCAAATATTTAATCGCAATATTTAAATGGGGGTTGGGGGGGGTCTGGATATCTCATTGTGGAGATTGTTCGACTTTCTTTGGATTCATTCGGTAGAAATGTGTTTGGAGTTAATAAAAAGCAATAGCCAAAACCCCAAAACTTGGATAATTTTACTGTCCTCAGAGTCTCTTTACGAAAGATAAATGCAACATTTTCTCAATGTTGAAATGTTAAACGCAAATCACCGACACATGTAAAAAGCTCTAAAAAATAACGTTATAATTTTGGAATGTGTATTTGTTGTTCCCCAACGTAAGAGTTGCCCCAGTGCCTTTACCTCTGTAAAAAAACGGAAAATCAAACTTAAGATGCAGTAGAATAATAGTGTGCGGCTTGCCTGCATTATTAAACCTTTGGTAAATCCAAATTCGTTGCATTACATAAATTGCTTGAAGGATACCGAAGTTTGAAATGATATCGCGAGTACTGTGCCATAATTCATCGGAAACTGTAGTGGACACTGCAGCCTCGTGTTAACGTATTGGTTGACATAATGATTGTACTCACGATGGTACTTGAGTATGTTTATTGTACTCCAAGAGCTGACCTAAAAGTCATGTGTGGTGATACTTCATTGGCAGTGGAAGCACAAGTACAAAAAACTAAACAAACACATTCGTCTTCTATAACAATGTCTTAAGAAATAGGTATCGTCAGTGAAATATATCTGGCTGGGGTCCTTCGCAGCACATAGGCCAGAGCCTTTCTACGTACTTCGAGGAAGGGCTATTGCCCAAAACGATGCATATTATATACTTTTTTTTTAAGCAGTGTTGGTGACGAATGTGTTGATACATCTCCTGCTTTGGTCGAGCAGGTTGAGTGCTCTGAACGGTGTTGCTTGCTCCAGTGCTGATTGAATCTTTATCTCGTGTCCGTCGGTCATTACCTTTACGTAGAACAAGGCAAATGCCTTTGCAGAGACAGTATTAAGCATTTCAAGTAAAAATGCCCCTATTTCGTTAAAAAGCAGAATAAATGTACGGGAATACGAATCACTCGCGACGTTCTGTGTAACGGGCCAATGTTTTCACCATGCAGTAATCAATATATCGTTGTTTCATTTGTGGAACTATACCCAAATGTATATACACGTACAAGTAACCGGTCTGTAGGTTATTTGTTGTTTGATGAAGTGCTTATCGTGAGATTTTTAACTTGAATTTTTTTTATCGATGCGATGCTGAAAAATGCATGGAAACCAAATCTTAAAACAGATGCTGTAATCGCGTAACTGAATTTTGGGAAATATTTTTTGCCGGCAATCGAAAACTCTGCGAAGTAGTTGAAAACCAGGCATGTGCATTGCTGCGTTAATTGCAAATACTTTCTTACAATACTTGCATCGAATTACGGGCGAGAATCGCCCGTTTCAAGACTTACGCAAATTATGTGCACATGTTACATTGACACAAGTAGAGGATCGAATTTGTGACCCTGGATCATGACGATTAATCGGATGACGCGGGAGTGGGTAAGAGTGAGTGGTGACACATCTGTTTAAAACAACACGACTTTATATTGGTGCTGCCGTGATGAATTTTCGACTCGTTTGAAGGTGCCTTACCTCCCACTGCCCCAGGTCCTCTGTGATTAAATAAATTAAAACTCTTGTATCTATATATTGCTCATACACAGATTATTATTTTTATTTGACGTCTGTGTAGCTGTGTATTTAAACTCGATTGACTCAAATAAACAAATGAATGCGTTACATAAAAAATACTCGATTGTGGATTTTTTTTTATTTTGTGAAAAAGATTTTAAAATATTGATTTAAAGCTTTCGTGACTACAGGGATCCATATTCTTGGTTCTTTTGGTAATGTCACGTAGAAGGGAAACAATAAAATAATAAAAATATAAAACAAATATTTTTATTATTTTATTGTTTCCCTTCTACGTGACTTTACCGAAAGAACCAAGAATATAAGATTATTAAATAAAACATTGTTTAAGAATCTACATCATTAGACCTCCTTAGCCAGTACCAAAATATAATAATAGGTTTTTCCCCTTTTTTCTGGCAACAAAACTGAAATATTTGACAAGGAATCATGTTACTGCATTAACCACAATACTTGTGGTCAAAATGCTCACCCCGAGCCCTCATTACTTTGATAGTGGCATTGTCTTTGAGCTGTGTGACGCCTTTTGGCGTCCTCTGGTCCAGCACCAATTGGGTCGAGGCTCAAAAGAAAGCCGTCTCTGGTGTGGACCAATCAGTTTCAAGGACAATGCATATATTATCAGTGTTTTTTGTTTGCATTTTGACCACAAGTATTGTGGTTAATGCACACATGATTCCTTGTAAAAGGTTTCAGTTTTGTTGCCATAGAAAAGGGGAAACCCCCTATTATTATTGTTTAAGAATATTGCGTGAATGCAGTGTGCCGTAATTCCAACGTACTTTGACCTCCAACACAACCCTAGTTGAACACCCGATCCAAGCTGTCGCGTTATCTCAGTTTAACACTGCAGACATTCACGATCAATATCCATGAGATCTTTTTTTTTAGTTAGGTCGCTTAAATATACGCGTCGTTAAACCCGCCACCACCCTCCACAGCCAGCTTAGTAAAGGTTTGTCGCGTAAACAAAAACGTGGCAATTAGTGAGCAGTTCAGCACAGCGGCGGCTTGTGGTGGAGAGTAAAACCCCACAACACACTCGACGGGAGATAATTTGCTCGCCTTTGTGGCGACGCAGCGCTCACACTCGCGTTATCGACACACAACTGAACATCGTGATGCGTGGTCATCTCGGGTACACTGAAGTCGACGCCAAGCCAGTGGAACATCCCACTGGGATTTTTGCACACAGCGTTGATGTACGGTGCTTTTTTTGGAAGACTTTGCTGTTTCGTCCTGGATTTTTCTGTTTGCGCGCAGTCACTTTAAGATGTTTTCTTGTTCATGTTTTTGTTTGTTGCGGTTGCACCCGATTCAAGAGCCGAATGGCTCACAGGGCTATACCAAATACATGAAACTGAAAACTGAAACAGCGGCCGTCCGGGAGTTCCAAACTAATTTTTGTAAAACCCCGCACCTTCCGATACATCGGGACATAAACCCGGTGCCGCCTGTTCGCCTAAAACCACGCCACCCCTTCTGGATCACAGCAGCGGCCCCTCACTCCACGCCACCAAATAAAAACAAATGAAGGCGAGAGATGGAAGCGAGAGTCTGGACTGCGGCCGATGTTAAGAATCTACATCTCGCACAGCCAGTGCCGGATTAAGCTAGTGCGGGGCCTGTAGCATATGTTATAAAGGGGCCCTACGTTAAAAAAAAACCCCCACAAATATGAAATCACATACATTTTTCACTTGCATAGTAAAGTAATTGTATTTTTTCATTTGCTATACAGCCAGATAACCTTAAACACCCAGTCGTTCATCAAAGTTGAAGGCAGTATAGTACTATAGTAATAGAGCAAGTGCAGAATCATGGAACCGGAATTGATAGCTTGAAAGCATTTAGCGCGGTGGTCCTTGAAAGTGCGGGGCCCATCGCATATGTAGCTACTTGTGCCACTAGGATCATCCGGCACTGCGTACAGCGAACCCACCGTTGAACCTCGAGGTTTTAAAGCCATCACGCGGCCAATGGTAGACCATCAACCGAATCGGGACCGGGCATGGCCAACCGATGGCGTATCGAAGATTCGGCGGCCCTGCGAGTGGCGCGGCCACCGCATCCCAAACCACCGACCGCCGCTGTCTTCACAACTTCAACGGAGGAGCTGTCTTCACAACTTCAACGGAGGAGTTGTCTTCACAACTTCAACGGAGGAGCTGTCTTCACAACTTCAACGGAGGAACGGACGAGATCCACTCACGGCGCCTGAGCAGACAATCGAGTGGATAGCGACATCTAAAATGACATCTTTCATCCGCTGCTCTGAATCCATGCGAAAGAAGATGACGAAGTGGTAACTTTTGTGTGACATTTTCGCCGCACGTTGTTTAGCCGTCAGCGTTCCCAGCCCACTGCCTACGGAGGGCGCTCCAATCTCGCCCTTCCGCCGACACGGGGGGCCACACCGCCCGAGTACGAGATGGAAGTTGAGCAACAGATGAAAGTGGCAAGCACAAATGACCCTTTCTTCGGCAAAGCAACGCCTTTTTGATTTAAAGCTTTCGTGACTGCAGTGATTCATATTCTTAAGTTCTTTCGGTAAAGTCACGTTGAAGGGAAACAATAAAATAATAAAATGACTGTGTTACAGTCGAAACGTCGTGAGAATTTAATTGTTTCATATATTATTTTATTATTTTATTGTTTACCTTCAACGTGACTTTACCGAAAGAACCAAGAATATACAACGCCTTTTTTGTTTTAAATATTGGCCTCGCAAAGGTGTAAGGGGTTGACGTTAAAAGACCCGCTGAAAAGTCGATGCGAATAAGATAAATAGATTTAGGGGCCGTCCATAAATGACGTCATGCGATTTTCGCCGATTTTTGACCCCCCTTCCCCCCCCCCTCGTCACTCGGCGTCATAAAAAGTCAGACCCCCCTCAAATATGACGTCACAAAGCTCTGCCCCCCCCCCCCCAATACCATATTTCCATTTTGAAAATAAAACTTGCTTCAAATAACTTTCAACTATTGTCATTGTAGTGCGTATTTAATGTGGCACTGCACTCTGATGTTGTAGGAGAAAACATGTACTGTATTAAAAAGGAGGCGTTGGAAAGCTGAAATTTAGCATAAAATTCCCTTGAAAATATTCAACGTCTAACTTAAACTGCAGATGTTCAGAATATATTGAAATTACCTTATAATTATAAAATATTAATAGTAATTAGAACTATAAAAAATACTTGAAACTTTGTAATAGAACGAAGAAAAATGGAGAGTACAATTATAACAATCACATTCATTCCACAGAATGAAAAGCCCTGGTAGAATCATTACATTAAAAATGTTTAATAACAATCATATTTTTTTTTTACAAAATTGATGCTTCTCCATTCTCCCATGGAGAAGCAAAATGTTCCTTCATGGAATAAATAAAAGGTGACCTAAGTAAAATTAAAATAATCAAATAGTTAATAAAGAAAATCAATCAAAATTAGTGTTGTTATAACAATTGTATTTAATTAAGTTTATTTAAAGTTGCGCATTTTGATGTGACGTCACATTTCTCAAACCCCCCCTCCCCCCCCTCGTCACACATCGTCACAAATGTCTGACCCCCTCCCCTCCCCCCCTAGGTGCGTGACGTCATTTATGGACGGCCCCTTAGAAACCCCAAAAAACATACAGGGAGGTGAAAACGTTTTAGAAAACCTATAGAAACGTCAAAAGAAAGCTTGCATTGAAAGTGAAAACTTAAAAAATAAATACAGAGTGTATTGATTCACGCGTTCGCTGTTCGCTATAGAATCTTTGACATACACAGTGTATCCCTGCGAAAACGTCGTGCGCTACAATTAAATGAGACGTCCCACGGCCCTCTGGGTCCTCATGGACCGTTTTGTCTCGGGCTTTTGTGACCCAAAACAATCCATGGAGTCGCTCTGTTCAGCCCAGTGGTCGGCGAACAAAAAAAATAACGAGAAAAGGCATTTTTTTTGTTCGAATTCGGTAGAAGAAGAAAAAACTCTCGAAGTTTGAGGCACCGCAACGCTTGCGAACACGAGACGGTGGTGGTCCCCCGCAATAAGTCGACACGTGGCGGTCCTTCCAAGAGCCGCAGTTTGCCGACCCGCTGGTTTAACCCCCAATGCTGCTCTAAAGCTTAGGGGCCGTCCATAAATGACGTGACGCGATTTTGGACGATTTTTGACCACACACCCCCCCCCCCCCCCCATCGTCACACGGCGTCACAAAAAGTCAGACCCCCTCCTCAAATATGACGTCACAAAGCTCTGCCCCCCCCCCCCCACAAAAAAACATGCTTTAAACTATTGTAGTGCGTATTTAATGTGGCGCTGCACTCTGATGCTGTAGGAGAAAATATTCATTAAAAAGTCTATTTAATTAAGTAGAACGTGTTGTCTTTATTTATTTAAAGTTGCGCATTTTGATGTGACGTCACATTTCTTACTCCCCCCCCACCTCGTCACACATCGTCACAAATGTCTGACCCCTCCTAGGTGCGTGACGTCATGTATGGACGGCCCCTTAGCTCCAGAAGGCGCACAGACAGGGTGATGGACTGGAATGTGATGTTGTTGTTGCTGTGAAACAAACCCGTGACTGTTCAATAATATTCTTGGTTCTTTCGGTAAAGTCACGTAGAAGGGAAACAATAAAATAATAAGAATATAACAAAAATATATTATTTTATTGTTTCCCTTCTACGCGACTTTACCGAATGAACCAAGAATATGAATCCCTGCAGTCACGAAAGCTTTAAGTCATGTTCAATAATAGTTCTATAATAATAATAATAATTTCCTAGAATAATAGTTCTATCAACTTGATTTATGTCATTTGTACAATAGGATCGTTTGCATTAAGCAATAAAAAAAAAACCCTGTATCATCACACGCGCTGTCATTTCACTGAATCAATGTATCTGAGCGTCGTCAAGGGCCGCTGCTAAAGGGCTTCACGGTTGTGTGACACTAGCAGCCCGTGCAAAGTTCACGCAGTGGGTCAACCGGCAGGTCGCGTTAAGCGTAGGCCATTCGCAGCCCTTCCCAGGCATCTGGATACCCTTGGAAGTGTAGTGTCAAAGACACATTCTACAGAGAGGAGGGAGGGTGGGGAGA